ACCCGAAACCCTAAGCCCGAAACCCGTAACCCTAAAACCGAAACCGAGGGTTTTAGGGTCTTCGGTCAGCCTGGGAGGTCGGAGTCGGCACTGAGCTCCTTCCCAGAGGGTCCAAGTTATAGTATAATTAGGTTTTAGGGTTTACGGTTCAGGGTTTAGGGTTTAGGGGATTCGGGAGTGATGGCTCAGAGCTTAGAACTCACGAGTTGAATTTAGGGGGTTGGGTCCCAGAAATCCGGGTTCGGGATCGGAATGCGTAGACCGTTTAAGCCGAAGGAGTCGTTGTGGAATCTTGGAATCAGGCATTACGGTGTAAACTTGGAGGTTGGAAATGGAGTTCAGAGATTTTTTGGGCTTCGAACGTTTCTATAGAGTCCTGAAGGAGCCCGATATCTTGAATCATGGTAAGGATTACTCTATAGTCTCTAGAAGAGAAGGATCATCCCTTACGTCAAGTGTATTGGGCTCGCAGGGTTCAGCTCTGCCCTCCGTAAGATGCCAGGTTAGCTGCAGAGATCTTTGCCCAGGATATACAGACGCCTACGTCCGTGGACAATACAAGACCTTGCGCCTTGCGGGGAGGAGCGACAGCAGAAGTTTGCGCGTCGTTGCATACTCATACGGTATGAAATCTATAATCTAGTATAATCGATAATAGGATGCAACATAATATCACACAAAACTGTGCTAACCGAGGGATCTTGTAGCTCGCGAAATCACTATCACCATCATCATCATCACCATCATCATCATCATCATCATCAACAGTATCATCATCACCATCATAATCATAATCATCATCATCATCATCATCAACAACAACAGTATCATCGGGGTAATCACCACCTTCTGGCTCATAGGGCCAAGAAGGGGCCAAGGGTCTTTGGGGCTTTACTTACTGTAGGGGCCTACATAAGTACCGATTCTCTTTTTGGGGGTTCGTTATTATAGTTATAGTAGAATGGGCTAGGTAGTATTATTAGGGGTACCCCTTAAAGGGTACCCCTTCTGAACCCTGCTTTTTGGCTCTCTGAAACGGGACCTTATTGAGAGGGTCTAGATCCCCAAGGGTCCCCCTAATCCTAGCTCCCATGGGCCCCAAAGCCCTATTCTAATTATTCAGGCCCCTAAACCCTAAACCCTAAACCCTAAACCCTAAACCCTAAACCCTAAACCCTATACTGCCTAGTTGTTGAGTAATGCGGTTACGTTTTTAGCATCTTCCCGGTCTGGCCCAGGGCCCTCTTACCCTAAGGGTCCATGCGCCCAAGTAGTATGGTACTTTTTGGGCCCCAAAGTACCTATAATAGGGACTACTTCAAGGCCAAAGTATATATACACTCCTTGGGACTATGGACCCTTAGGGTTAGCTGTTCAGCGACTTGCTGCCAATGGATAGGTTCTTGTCGCCAAGGTCCCTCTCATCTGAGCTTAGCTGTTGTGGACGGTGTCGGAAGGCTGTCTTCTATTGGTGCAAGTGCCTAGTGATGATATACCCCCCCTTCAGACAAGCTGTACCACTGCACCCACTACCCACCTGTTCGGTAATGGATACCTCTGTTCAATACACCCTGTTTCTCTCCGGATCTTGCTGTTTGGATAGGATCCCTGCTGCGGTACACCTTAAGGGCCGGGGATGTTCATTCCTCGGTTTAGGGTGTAGGGTTCAGGGTTTAGGGTTTAAGGATCCTACACCCTATAAGCCCTAAACCTGTAGTACTGTCGACTCTTTCTGGGGCTCTCGTGTGTCGTCGTTTCTTGGGCTTCGCCGAGATGGTCGTCTTAGGGGCCTTCATGGCCGGAAGCGGGTTTCGGTGTTGCATTTTTATCGCAGAGGCCTCAAAAGTAACCCTATGGAATGACCTTAGTAATCTTTTCCTGCTTCTGTATACGTAAGCTTTGATGAGTTGTTCTGCCTTGGATTGTTGTAGTTGGGGCTCCCTAAACCCTAAACCCTAAACCCTAAACCGGGCTAGGTAGGGCTGCCAAAAAAATCACATTTACTGGTTTTGGGCCGTGCCACAGTAGGGGGACCCAGCAGGCACCAAGGCGGTGAGGAACCCAGAAAGGCAAAATCAGCAAAAGACGAGTTATAAACTTAGAATGGAGTTTTGAGTAGTTGACATAAATTCAGGAGGAACCATTTCGTAGCTTTTCAAGCCCTTCCTGTGGAAAATCGATAAAGCCGTAAAGCCATAGCTGCAACACTTAACCCTAAACCCTAAACCCTAAACCCTCAACCCTAAACCCTAAACCCTAGACCCTAAACCCGAAACCCTAAACGCAGGAAGGGTACTGGATACGTCTTCGACACGAACACGATCCACAAGGCGAGAAAGCTGCCGTCTCTTCCGCGGCCTTCCATGCCAGAAGCAACGACTGTATCGGTTCATGAATCACGTGTCATGACTGTTTAGAGCTATATACATATATACCGCACACAGGATTTCTGTCTACAGAGCCTTTATATACATATATATATATACATACATACATATATGTACAAAAATACATACATCTGTATGTATATATATATATATATGTATGCATGTATGTATGTACTGCTACAGATCGAAGCATGGCCCTGTGGTGCTAGGGCACGCCAGAAGGGTCTGTGTCCCGGGACGTCATTGTCGTAGAGCGCCGCGGCAGCACCTCGGAGGGTGGCATGAACAGCTGTTGTTGTTCGGGGTGCAGCAGGAGGGGTTTTCGGTTTAGGGTTTAGGGTGTACGGGGGT